TTGCGATCACTGAGGCTCCGTAGCGGCATAGTAGCCGGATGCCGCCAAGCTGCTGGGCTTGCTTGGACGCAGGAAATATGTGCCAGCGATGTTCCCTCGGTCCCATCGCTGCCTGGCCTGTCAGGCCTTTCCTCGGCTGCACTGGGAGCGTTGGCTCTGGGCGGTTCGCTGGAGGAGGCTGACCCTCCTGTCTGGAAGGAATGCGCTGCTGCACTTCGCCCCCTAAGCTGGCTGGGATCGACCCGCAGTCGAAAGTGTGCCCCGGGCTCCGCCACAGGTGGTAGTTCATAACGCATGCCCCGGGGCACTGGTAGGTGCGCGATGTCAACAGTGGTTCCATGCGCCAAATGCAACAAGCGATAGCACATGGGTGCGTGGGGATCGCTGATGACAAAGGGCATAACAGGCTGGTTGGGCGCTTGCGCAATGAAGATGGCAGAGGCTGTCGTGGCGACGGTGATTGCTGCATCAAGCAACTGGACATCAGACGCAAAGAGATGGGTGTCCTCGAGCAGACGGAGGACCTCACTGGGTGCTGGGGTCAGCATTGTGTCGAGCCAGAGTTTATGTGGCGCCCGTGCAGCTTGAAATATCCAAACTGATTTTCTCCTCGCATGTGGGGTGCCCATGCTGGCTGCCCGGTCAACCATTGCTCGTCTGAGTGACTCCGCCAACAACTGAGCGCTGTGCATGACTGTGGCAACGAGTTGGTCCCCTTGGACTTGAAGTCCAACGGGTGGCAGGGACACCGGAAAGGTCAAAAGCCTCAACTCATGCAGTTGCTCCAGGAGTGGAGCCGCGTTTGTGGAAGCTAGGCCTGACTGATCTCTATGGACTAGCTGCAGGTAGTCTCCAAATTCAAGATGTCTGCGGCACAGCTCTGTTGGTATGCCATTGATTAGCAGACGAAAACCGGCCTGTAGTTGCGCCGGTGCTAGGACGTCCTCGGCGTACGTTCCAGGCTCGAGATCCAATGAGGAAACCTGCAGGCCGTCTGTTCCCGGATCATAGAAAACAGTGGAACTGCCGGGCTGTGTACTGGCAATGAGTGGTATGATGTGATGGTTGGCTGCTGTGGCTCTCGGAAAGACCGGCGCTAGGACAAGTCGGAAAGGCTTATTGAGTCTCCCCAGGCCAACCAGTCCACGTAAAAGCTCAACCACTACCTGTTGCAGATTGATCTCCGTTACTGGACGGACGGCTGTGCGGACCGTGGCCCCCTCGCAAACAATCACGAAGCTGACAAGCGGAGGAGGGGCCATGGCCGTTGTGGTGCTCGTGGTGCTCAGGAGACCCTGTTCTGGGACGTGGAAAGGCAGTGGGTGCGGCAGCCAAGGCGGGGCTCTAGCAAACGGGTTGCGTCCAATCCGCAGGATCATCCATTGCATCGCCTGCGGTGCCTCTGGGATCGCATCAATGATGTGTCCCTGACTGTCCTGTAGAAACAGCCTGTCCTGTCCCCAAGGATCTGCAAGGACTTCGTTCAGCTCTGGCATTGTTGCTGTGGCCCGGTCCAGGACGGCCCGCAGAGTTTGGCCAACCTCTACCGGGATGGTGCAGACCCCGTGTCCAACCTCCCTTAAATCAAGTGGAACGGCGACCCCTGCGTGTTCCCAGCCGGGAGCGGTAACCACTATCTGGGGAAGGTCAAGCCCCGGGATTGGAGCTGTGAGAAACTGCACGTGGGATGGCCGCTCGTCGAGCTGGCTCGCTGCGTAGTCACAGAAATCAAGCATTGTCCATTGACTGGAACCCTGTAGCTTCACCGGTGGATGGCCCTGCGTCATCATTGTGAAAACTACAGTCCGCTTTTCACCTGACCCAAAGCCCGGGAAGAGACACAGTTGTGCGACTGGAAGGCTCGAGCCTGCTGGCGAGCCAATGGCCAATGGGCATAGTTGTGCATCCGCAAGCGCTTCCGGGATGGCTACTGCATCAGGCAACCCCAAGACAGCACCTAGTAAGCTGGGAGGGTTGGCACGCATCCCTGTGCAGGTGGTGGTAGTATCGGCAGGGTGCCCGGCACGGGCCGCAAGACTCATCCACTCATACTGGAAGAGTGGCTCCTCCAGCATGTCTCTCGTGATGTCCCCTGCATCCCGGAGAGTGTGTGTGCGCTCTTCTATTGACCTGAGCGCCCCAGTTCTGTCACATCGGGCGTCTGTTAGGCCTTGCAGGGCTGCGGCAATGTTGTCTCCTGGATGCACAGCGATTGTGCAGATGGAGAGTCCTTGCCCTCTTAAATCAAAGGGAAGGGCATAGCTCGGACGTTGCAAGGAGGCAGGGCACAATATGATCTGCGGCGTCGGCAGGCCTTGCAGAGGTCTGGTTATGACCTGTGCTGTGCGCACGCGGAATGTTGCTGTGGAGATGGCTGCCGCAACGCAGTCCATGATGCTCCAGCTGCTGTCTCTCCGGCTGGTCCTCTGGTGGGAGACCGGGTCGAAGATGGTGAACAGGTGGTGGTCCGCTCCACCCGGCACGGCTTCTTCCAGAGCTGGCATGCTCTGGATCGGAGCGTAACGCAAAGGCCCTTGCAGGCTGGCTGGCAGCAGTTCAGCGGCCTCGGCCACAATGTACTGCAGATCTGAGGGCTTGCGGCAAGGTTTAGCAGCAATGGAAGCCGGGGTAGTAGGTACCGACTTTGTTGCCCGGGTGCGGCAGCCTGCTCTGGAAGTGTTTGCCTGTGCAATGTCGCGGCGGGGGCAGGCATCACAGCGATGACCTGCGCGAGGACAAAAATTGGCAAAGGGCAGTGAGATGTCCGGGCTGTAGAGGCTGAACTGCTGGCGTGGGCTAAGACTGCGCTGGTGCGCGGTCAAAGCGCGAGGACAAAAATTGGCAAAGGTCCGTTCCTCTTGGCATTCTTGAACCCCTTTGTCGACCTCAAGCGGGTTCATGGTGGGGCGGCACATGGCAACCGCAGCCAGCTGCCGCGCAAGCCTGTTGAAGTGGACCAAGCCCGGTTCAAAAGTGGGACTGCAGAAGGGCACTGGGTGCGGAGCGCGGTGGATACAGGATTTCCTTGGCACCTGACCTACCTGGCTCTTATAAGACCTGAGCGCGCGAGAGGGAAACTCGCTGGCACATCCTACTTGAAGATCTCCATCCCATCCAAAACTTTCGGACAACCCTGCTTGACGCAGCCTGAAGTCCTGGCCGGGGGTGAAAACATCCCCGAACTCTGCAAAAACAAGCTCGTTTTGCAGCTGCAAAGCGTTCCAGCGGGCGCTGCATGGAAGCGTGTAATCGGCCTCGTTCATGATTGAGTGGGCTAGGCCGTCAGCATGTGTCCAACTAGGGACATGCGGAATCGGCCCCCTGATGTCCAGAAGGCACGTCAGGAGGCCTTGCCAGGGGGCAACACGGCTTCCGTGTTGCCTTTTCGTCTTGGCGTTCTTTCGCGGCCTTGCTCTTTCGCCGCCTCCTCGGCAGCCTTTGAGCGCACCAGATTGAGCGCTTGCACAAGTTCCGCTCCTCTGGCTTCCACTTGTTCCAGCGTCCGCTGGGTGGCAACTTCTGCCACCGCCGCCTCGTCCGCTTTCGCCTCCGCGATCTCCATCTCGCCGTCCTCCTCGTCCGAGATGGTCTGCGGTGCGTCCGCCGCCAGCTTTGTCAAAGTCGACGTAGCTTCTTGCAGCGCTTCTCCCCATTGGGCTTCCTTGGCGGCGAAGTCCACCATCGTCGCTGTGTGCTCCTCGACCTGGGTTTGTACTGTACTTAGTACTTGTTCCAGGTATGAGCTCCATGCCTGAAGGTAGTTGCTGCGGGTAGCGCGTAGTTTGTGCAGCTCCTTCTTCGCCGCAGCCTTGCTCGCCACGACTCGATGCATCACTTTCGCCTCCTCCCTGGCATCCACCTGTTGGTGCTGGGCCAACAGCTCTCGCAGCTGGGGGTTGAGCTCCGCCTCGTTCTCCCGCATGGCGGATAAAATGCGGTCCAAAGCGGCCCTGTCCACACTGCTGCTGCCTGTACTCGCTGTAGCAGGTGTATCCTTTGGCATCGTAGGCGGCCCCGGTGCTGGCACCCTTGCTGGGGGCTTGGGCAGCTGGGCTGCCTTCGGCATCGGCTGTGACGGGGCTCTGCCAGGTGTCTCTGACCGCCCTGGCTTGGCCCCCTTTCCACGGCCCTTGTCCCCTCGCTGTCTCGGTGACTTCGGCCGCCTCTGCCTGCTCCAGCCCGAGGGCCAGGTGCCATCGTTGGCTGTGGTTCCCCACGTGGCTGGCGGCGCTCCTCTCGGTGTGTAATGCTCCTGAGCTTGCCAGTGTTGTCCGCAAGCTGGGCAGTAGGTCGCTGTCAGCTTGCAGGTATTTCCACACGGACACACCCAGTTCTTTGCCATGGTGGGCGAAGTCGGTTGCAATAAGGCCTTGGCCCTTACTGGCAAAGTCGAAGCTGAATGATGACCTTGCAGACTTTGTATCGCCTTGTAGATGGTGGGCGTTGGGTACCACACTCCCCCAATGAAGGAGCGTAAGGTCGTTCGGCTCTGTGTCCGAACCCGCCTTGCGCGTCTGTGCCAGGCTGCTTCCTTGGATCTTCGCTTGGCAAAGCGCTGCGCAAAGTAGGACCCTGATGAAGAGAGCAACGTGGCCACCAACCATAAACCAAGAGACTCCTTGCACTAGGGCAGGGAGAATTCCGGTGGGGCGCAACTCCCAAGCAAAAAGCGCGGAGGGGGGCGCCACTCCCTAGAAAAGGCGCGAACGAGGGCGCGACTCCTCCTGTACGCGCAGTGGAAAAATTGGGGCGCTACTCCCAGGCCCAAGCGCAGTGTAGGGGCGTGACTCCCAGGATCGACGCAGAAAATGCGGGCAATGAAAGCTGCCGCGCAGGGTCAGCAGCCGCAGGTCGGAATGGGACTCAGAAGAGAAACTACCAAACCGGGGGCCTGCAGCCGAAACGCCTAGGGTTTATGGGTTTAGGGTTTAGGGTTTATGGGTTTAGGGTTTGTCCGGGCAAATCTTTGGTGCAGCGATGCGCCGTGGCGAGTCGTTTAGGCTTGGATGCTTTCTTGGCTCTTGCTGCTCGGCTTCCTCGAACAGCGGCTGCCGGAGGCACACCTGGTATGTGCTTGGACTTGGGTTCCCACTGGTAGGGAGTTTAATCAGTTTTATCTAAAGTGCCGCCACGAGTCTGCAGGGCTCCGGCCGCAGCATGCTGCCACTGCAGCTGAGCTGCTTCAGGAGGCATTCGCCCGCTCCCTCCTGGTTGTATGCGGGGATTGCTCACAACTAGGATCCTATCTGGGGTCCCTACCATTATGGGTGGAAACGACTCCAGCACTGCTAAGAAAATGTCTCTGCAGGCAGAGAGGCTGGTCGCTGCACACCCGCAGCGCTCTGCGGAGATCGCCATGGCATGACACCTAGACAGTTGTGTGATGATATTTATAGTCTCTCGCATGGCCGTCTCTGCTAGTAGGAAATGAGCCGGAGACAGAGGAAGAGAGCTTAGTGAGCCGAACGTGCCTTGGAGGACCAGGCCTTCGGAAGGCAAGGCGAGAGCAAGAGAGAGCTTCACAGTTGTTTCACGCCCGTCCGCGGCGAAGCTTGGACCTGCATCCTGTCTTGACAGAACAAGGAGGGGACCGGGTGTGCACTCGTGCTCGCACACTGCCTCACCTCTCTCTGTCGCCTTCGCTCGCTCTGTGTACGGGAAAGACCTCCCATACCGACCCAGGTAGCGGGGCGAATCAGCCCTATAGCTGCGCAGCCTGGGCTGACGGAGTCGTTTGCCCGCACCTTACCTAGCCACGTGCTGGTAATGTCGGGCCCTGGAAATCGGAGCTTGAGGCAAGGCCGATATGTCTTGTGAGTTCATGTGCGTGCTGCAGTCTGCATGTCCAACGTGTTCCTCTTTTGGAGCTGAAAAGACAAGTACCAAAAGCACAGAGCAAGCAAAAGGACTGGAAGATGCTGGAAGTCGGAAGCACAGGGCTCTCGAATCCTGCAAAGAGCCAAGATAGTTGACTGAGAAGAAGCAGGTGGATCAAGTAAGATCATGGCCCAGTCTTGTGAAGAGCTTCGCAGCTCGGGTAGCCGCTGGACGCCCATGGTATGCCTTTGGGGTACAAGCGCGAGATCTCGTTTCCCCGACCAGCCAGTTGGCTGCATTGCTGATGGACAGTTTGGGCTTCCATGCTTTCGGTTCTGCTGAACCTCAGACAGAGAGAGAGGCTCATGGACGCGGCACTACCGTTCCTCGCGGCCACACGACACCATCAGGCTCAAGAAAGCATCGCACCGATCGAGGCTGAACGTCTGATCTGTCCCGACTCGAAGTTTCAGGAGCTGGAGGTCTGATTGCTGCGGCCGGCGTGGCCTTGGACAGCGATCGCCGTCACTGGCAGCCTGTTTCCCGTCCCCGGACTCAGTGCTCAGATGGTGAGACCCGCTTCATTCTTGGAAAGTCAGAGGCCCCGGAGATGGCAAAGTGGTCAGGCTTTCTGCAACGGCCAGGACTGCGGGTGCATTGAAGCGGTGCAAAATCCGATTGGTTCCTGGTAAAGAACTGACATGAGGCCTTGAAGATTTTCCAGAGTGCAGCCGGCAAGCATGCCAACGGATGCCCGACCTATTGACCTATTGTATCCATTCAATGTGTCTGTTAGCCTGGCAAGAAGGACGCCTCGCCGGTGGGTAAAGAACGAGCCTGATAAAGATGCACCTTCCCTGCACAAGCTCATGCCCTGGGAATCTCGGCGGCAAGGTGCTGCAAGGCTTCGGGCTTCGGGAACATGTCTGGCATAGGACAGTTGCTTGATGTCACGCTGCCTAGGCTGGCAGGGAGAGGCGCAAGCATCTTGCCAGCAGGGGAATCCGATATTCTGTCTAATCCGAATATGGCGATGATGCCGAGGTCTGCGATGGCGGCTCAGTCAGAGATGCACGAGGCAATGGTTGGCATGATGTGATTTTTGTCGATGCATGTCGATGCCGTGCAGCTGCAGGAGGCAGCAGCAAAACCAAAAGAGCCCGCTCGAAGAGCCTCGACTCAGGCAAAGGCCGCTTCGCAAAGACCTTTGTCATGCTTGTGCTGCTGGGCATGTATCAGGCTGAACAGCAGCAGGGTCAAGAGTCCATCAGTGGCATCGAAGGTTTTTTCTGCTGCTTGAGCTCGTTGATGATCGTCCCAGTGTATTCCCTGGCCGGAGGATTCCAGCCACACCTTCAACAGAAGCGGCGGAGTGTGACGGAAGTGATGGCAGGACAGTTTGTCTACCGCTTTCGTTCGGAACTACTAGACAGTGTCAGTTGGCTTTCAGGATTGCGATCCGACCTCCTGAGTTTCTTTGATGCAATCGGCTGCCGGCATCTTCGTGCGGAGCTGCGCTAAAGCAATCTAGGCATGCTGCTTCAAGGTCATTCAATAAAGCCGAACTATCGGTACCGGGCTGGCACGCCAGGCATGGTCTGAGTTTATAGTCTGGCTGTGAGTTTTCAATATCCTGGAGTGGCTCCATGCGGCTGCTTTTGACTGCCCAGATGCTTTTTGCTGTCTGCAGGCGTGTGGGACACGATACAGGAGAATGCCAGCGCCAAGGTGTTTTGTTCGGCTGCTTTTTGATTCACCACAGCCTGTGACTTCTGATATACTATAATATATCTTAGAAAAATATGATATACTATATATTATAATCTACTATAATATAGTTCTGATATACTATAATATATTGTAAAAAATTATGATATACTATATGTTACAATATACTATGATATAGTATATTGCTCAAGGTGGCGAAGATGAGGCGTGTTTTGATGGAGGCAGCCGAGAGACGAGAGGCGCCCGCAAAATGCCGCAAAGGCAGCCATGAAAGAAAAGTAGGACGCGTTAGGACAAGCAGGGTTTAGGGGTTTAGGGGTTTAGGGGATCAGGGGTTTAGGGTTTAGGGTGGTCGGATGTCGCCCTTGTTGCCTTGAGAAGCTCTGTACAAGGATCTTTGCATGTCATCGCCGCAGCTCGTGAGTACGTGTGCGCAGGCCAAGCAAGCCGAGCAGGCAGCGCTCCGGGACTCTCCCATTTTGCCTGGTATCGGACCTCAGAGCGGTACCGACGACCATGTAACCTTCTCTGCGTGAGTGCTAAATCATGAGTTTCTGCTCAGGTGATCACGGGAAGTCGATCTCAGAAGTAGCCACGGAAGAGTTCTCCATCTCGCCGCTACTCACAGTCGCCGGGCTCCTGTTGCACTCCTCCCCAGGGCCCGTGTTTGAGCCCGCGTGTTCGGATTCGTCGGAGCGAAGGTGGTGCTCTTCTTCCATGCTCCTTGCAATCCGCTGAACATGGATGACATTTTGATCCTCAGGCTGCCCAGAAACCTTGCGTTTGGCAGCACGAGAGCAGCCTCCTGCCTCGAGGAGAGCGCGCCAGGCTGTCGAAGCGTACCACCAGGCCACGCCTTTGCAAGACAGCTGACGTCAAAGGGCGTGGCACAACACTGGAAGGTTGCTGTTGCCGGTGCTTTGGTCATCCCGTTCAGCACGGTCGCCCTGCAGTGTGCCCGCTGCAGCCAGTTGCGATGACTTGCCAACAAGAACTGTGCTGAAGCCATCCTGGCTGAACCAGCCTTGTGGTTTATCGGCGTGAAGTTTGGATTAGATTGGCACTATTGTGCCTTTTCAAGTTCTGATGTTCATGCTCTTGCTTTGGATCTCGAGCTGTGGAGTTCTGCAAGGGGTCAAGATGGAACCTTCGCACTGCTGTGTTGTTCCCCAGCATCTTCGCGAATATCTGTGCAGACATACGGGGCATGGTGTGGTCATGAGCAGCCCACCATGTCGCGCCCCTTGCTCTTTTCGAGGAAACGGTTTGCTGGCGAGAAGGGAGCAGTTCTTCTCCCCTTTGACTTCCGTATGGACAGGGTGCTCTTTGTTTCGATGCTCTCTGGGCCATTCCTTTTTTTGCAATTTCTGCAGAGCAGGAGATGGCCCAGAGCGTGATCGACACCGCAGAGCAGCCCGCGCCCCAACTTTCGGAAGGCATTGTCACGGCAAGCAATCTTTCGGGTCTCCTTGTGCAGTGATTGACTGTTGTTCGGGTACTGTGACTACCTGTGCATCTGACCATCTCTGCTGTAAGTATCTGTAGGACTGTAGGTGGCCCTGTTGACTGTCCGTCCTGCTAAGTTAACGAAAGCGTGTTTTGGTCTCTGTCTGTAGCTTGTGTGAAAAAATTCGTTGGCAACAACAAACAGTTCTTTTCGCTTAGCTTTCCCAGCCGGGCCCATCACGGTCAATTCAACGTGTCCTCTTGCAGGCAACACCATGCCAAAAAAGCAACTGTGCAGTCACTTCGATCTGCAAGCCGAGCTTAAAGGCCTAAACGGGATGTGTCAAAACATCGCAGTAGCAAGCCTGGGTTCGGGAAGGGCAGAGTGAGAAAATGTTGGATGGGCAGGGCTGCGCGAGTGGCAGAAAGACTTGCTCTTGAAGCTTTGCAGCTCAGGAGTTCGTGGATTCTGACCGACAACTGTGAGGTGCTCCCGACTCCACCTTTATGCTTGCAGATATTTCGCGACCGCTGTGTTTCCGAAGCCCTCTCTGGCAGGAAGGGTGCTTGGCATCTGCACCGGGCTCACTCCTTCACTACTTCGCCGAATATACGAGGCTAGAACGGACGGAAACCCCCAAGTCGGAATGGTGCTTGCAAGCAGAAGGCAATGTGTAGGAATGGGCCATTTGCAGGAGTCGCTTATATGATGCCGGCTACGAGACGAAGGTGCTCGAGGTGAGCGTGCAGTCTACCGGGACGCTAACCGAAGGGCTCCAGAACAGACAGTTTTAGCCAGTGCAGCCAACAGTCAGCAGCTTCGACTACACATGGAAGAGTCTGACCGTCTAGACATGCAAAGCTCGTGTTGCATGCGCACGCGGCAAAGCTGCTGTTCAGAGACGAGTCCGTACGCATGCATTGCTTGCAGGTAAGGTACGAGGACGTCGGGGTCAATGCAGTGTCAGCAGACTTCTGGGCAGTCCAGCACCTGATGGTCAAGACGCCACGCAGACGTTTGAACTCATTGAAACGACATTATCTGTACCCAAGATCTTGTTCCCCATTACTCAGCAATATGCCCGACTCACGTGTTGAACAGTCGCAGGACTGCTTGTGGAGTGACGGGGACTTCTCAAAGACCGAGCACCGCGTGGTGGAGGCGACTCTCCGGGAGCCTGTTCAACAGCACTTCTGCAAGATCCTAAGCCGCAACAGGATCCTTATGGTCTGGTTGCGATCTCAGTCACATGAGCCCTTCTGCATCGAAGCCGGACTGCGATTGCCTGTCCAGAGCTACATCAGCGCAAGATACTGCAAGTACGCATGGAGCATCTGACCAGGTTTCTTCCTACTGTCTGCGGAGCTGAGCTCTCTAAGAGTAAGGTCCCAGAGGTGCCGAAGACGGCTTCGGTCCGAGGGATCTTTCGTGTGCTGGTCGAGTGCCCCAAGCAGGTCCGGCGAGTTTTGGATTTGAGGGTTTAGGATTTTAGGGAGTAGGGTTTAGGGTGTTAGGGGTTTAGGGTATAGGCGTTTGAGGGTTTCGGGTTTAGGTTTGTGGGACATAGGTCCGGTTGACCCTTTCTCGTGCTTATAAAAGGTTCATGGTCGTGGCAGATGCTGCGCCTGGGATCTCCAGAAAAGATTGAGATGGAATCTTCGAGTTCACTCGCAGACTCCTTGTAGACTATGCTTTAACAGATCTCGCGCTGTCCCTTCCACTTCTCTTCTCTCCTGTGTAATTCGCACTCCTTCTGGTGTAGCAAACGTGTGCTGAGTGAAATACTTCGGGTGATCGGCGACGCCGGAGCATACGCTCGGCCGCTGGAGGACTTTGCATCCTCACATGCCGCGTGTCGTACTTGTAGCAGTATGCAAACAAGGCGAACAAGGCGTTTCCTGCTACAGTATACCTGAAGAACCCAAAACCTACTTTTTTGTAGGGTCCCTATAAATCCCATATTAGGGTTTATAGTAAGAACCTACAAAAAAGTGGGTTTTGGGTTCTTAAGGTAGGTAGACACGGCTGCCTTGCACACCTTCGCCGAGTTCCTTGCCGCGCGGGTGTTGTGCAGGCAGAAGATCGCTCGGAACTGGCTGTGGTGAAACGAGCCCATGCAGACGCGCCGCAGCGCATCGTGCCTTTCTCCGGGCCTTTGAAATGAATCTGTTCTTCCCAATCCCTCGGTTGGGGGCGCCGGGTGGACGCAGAAGTCTGCCGCCGACATCGACTGAAAAGTTCGGCCGAAGCAAACTTGGATACGTCGCCGATGCAGTGGGCATCCACTTTGCCCCTCTGAGTGGTGGGCCGCACCTGCTCGCTGGCACACAGAGCTCTTCGCAACGCAAAGGAAGGCGTATCTCATCCAAGGCAACCCACGGAAACCATTCGAACAGGTCGGCTTCGATGTGCCATTTTGCCAACTCCTGCATATCCGCTCCGCAGGTGCACTGCCGCGAGCTCTTGCGAAGATCCATCTGGTTGCTTTGCCGCGGGGAGGATGTTCTGCATAGCAACTCTTGGCAGTCCCTAGACTCGACCCTAGCCGCCCTAACCTAGACCCTAAACCGTAGCTTGCGCCGCAGGAGACCTCGGCATGTTGCGATGTCCTGCGCCGCCTGCTCGGTGCATCCGCGGCAGAGCTCCTCCAGCGTTGGGCCTCACGCCACCAGGACGTGACTTCTTACCGTTGGGGCTCGAAGATAACGGACAAAGGTAAGTGTTTTTGTGTAAAGATAATGACGATCTAAGGGTGATACTGATGACTATTCTACGAATGCCGCTGCTGTTGATGATGACAATGATGAATAATACAATGACGGTGACAGCGACGAAATAATGGCGAGCGGTCCTGTTCCAGCCCGGAGATGACGCAGATGCGATATGGATGGATACGTGGATAGATGATGGGGAATTCTGAACAAAAAGGTGGTTGTAAGTCTGAATGATTGTGAAAGGGGACGCTGCACGGGTCTGCAGATCGGAGCAAAGCCTTTGCTGCAGGAGGGCGCGCGCTCCAAATTCAGGACCCAGGGGAGAAGGGCATTTCGGGCATCCAGAACTAAGTTGATATTTACAGTGTGTGCGCTTGTTCCGATGTTTCTGCCAACGTGCACCTCCTGTCTTCCATATGCTGCTGTCTGCTTGTCAATCTCTACGTCTCTGCTGAGAGTCGATGCACAACTTCTCCGTACAGTTGCTCATAGATGTGCGTGCCCACGTGTTACATCAAGTCTCCGCGTACCAGAACACGGTCGTCACAATGTACTCGCTGGCAGTCTGCTGTGAAGGAGCTGAGAGTCGGAGTTGATCTCGCAGCGCTTTCTTCCCAGATCTGCAAGCTTCGGACAAAGCGTAAGCGAACGTGTCATTCACGATGCAGCATGCAGATGTCAGGACAAGCTAGATTTTCACGAAAGGCGTCAGCAAACATGCATAGTCTTAAATTTTAGTCTGCCCAGATTCTGTGCACCATGGACAGCCCATGTGTATTGCATCGAGACAGCGCGAACATCAGCATTGGCATCGGTGTGCACCTTCAGGGCTTTTTCCAGCTCCAAAGCCTGAGCTCTGGAAATAAGATCTGTGTGTGTGTGTCGATGTGATAGACATGTGTAGGAGACTTTGCCTCTGATTATCAGAGTGCCCCCGCTAATGAGTGCCTCGTGGCAGCATGTGCGAAAATGCGATGCTGCCATGCTGGATCCAGCATCCGCTGCAAGGCGATACTCGCTGGAAAGAAGAGTTGCGAGCTCTCTAAAGTTAGTTAGAGTCTGCTGATTTGGATGCATGGAGACCATCTTGGCCGGTATGTTTTGCACCGCCCAGGCTCGGAGATACGGCGAGGTGGTTTCGGAACGCCTGCCTTCTTCCGATGCATGGACGAAGGCTCGAGAATCAGTAGCGTAAGCCATCCCAAATGCAATCCTAAACCCCATATTAGACTCTGGCACCAGGCCCAAATCTTCTCATACTTCTAACTAGATCTCTCAGATGTTTCAGCGCGGAAGCCGCGGCCATGTCTTTGCAGGTGCATGCGCGCGAGGCTCTGGCTGCGTATATCGCTATGGAGGCGAAGGGATGCATGGGGAGTGGGGAAAGCTTTCTTTGGCATGTTGTGGCCGTGGTGCCTGCCTGAGAGGGTCTCGGGAAAGCAGCCGGAGTGTGGAGCCTGGCAACTGACGAGATTCCGACTCCAACATGTGCCGCCGACTCTCTCCGGTGGCTTTAGGTCGCAACGCTCTCCGTGGCCTCCCGCGCCGCAGAAGGCTGGATTTGGGCTCATGAGAGCGGTCTCTCTACGACTCTACTACGAACTCCAAGGATCCCAACTTCTGGAAGCACACGACCTCGCCGCCGCGCCCGGGCCTCGGAAGACATCTTCGACGCCCAGAGTGGCCTGAGATGGTCTGAGACGGTCTGAGGCTGGCGCGCCTGGCGGCTGCCAGGAGTGCGCCCAGTGGCCGGGCGGAAGGAGAGCAATCTCCCGTTGCAGCTTCTTTTTACAATAGGTCATGGGAGGACGCTTTGCAGCTGAAGCCTTAATTCATCTTAACTCCCACTTTGAACCCCGACCCTGAAGCACGCCCTTCTCAAGGAGCCATTGGTAGCCAAGCATCGCACTCAGCTCATGAGGCCGGGCCCCGCATGCTTCTGAACAGCTGCAAGTTCAAGTGCAGCCTTTCAAGTTCCGATGGGAGGCCGCTGCTGCTGATGTTGCCATGGCACTGCAAAAAGCAATGGCGGAACGTGCGCGATCCTAAGTCTCATTGCTTGGTAGGGCAAAGAAAGGCAGGAATTTGTCCAACTGGTATGCAAATGCGGGCAAGACCGACCGGTGCTGCTCCGAGTACAGGTAGAAACACTGAAAGAGCTGAGTTCGCAGGACCGCGGCCGAAAGCACGACTTAATGTTGTATAGTATACAGTATACGGTATTATTTGGCATCAATGTGTATGTCTACATATGTATGTATACACATATGTGTGTATATATATATATATAAGCCTCTTGCACACTTAATTAAGCTAATATTAATAAGTCATCTGTTACTACTAATGCTTCCATGTGGAGAACAGTGCTGGTTTTAGTGTTCCGCGATTAGCAAGGCGATCATACAAAGAGCATGTCGGTAGCACACCCAGCGATCCAGCTTGCCTTCGTCGCTCTTGCTCGCAGCAAGCACGACAGAGAACGTCTTCAGTCCACCTACAAAGAAGCTTTCGTCGAGTATTGTTATACAGCATATCGCATGAGTAGGTTGTGTGGCGACATATCCTTATGCCGTACACAGTCTGCCGTCATAAAGTGTGCAGTCTTCAGCACTGGCTCCTGGAATCCAAACCCTGAGCCCTAAACCCTAAACCCTAGTGCCAGGACCTGTGCAACGCCTTGGTCGGCCTCGCCCGGTCGTCCGGTACTCGGGTCATCGTGGGGCCGGAGGGTCGCGTAGACCATTGAATTGCAACAGGGCTTTGGGATGCATTTAGGGGTTTAATGTTTAGGGTTACTATATTAGGGACCCAAAGTAAATCTATTACTCATGGATCATGACGACGTTGTTGAGTGGGACGAGGCCTCTTGTGCTCCCGGACGCTGCTGCAGCACCAACCTCAGGCATGCGATTCCGCATTCATCGACAGCCGTGTTTGCTTTCCTGAAATAGTCTTCCGAGATTGCCACGAGGCCGTTGCTGGCACGGCACGGGGTCGCGCTACCGAGCTCTCGCCGCGATCCCTATGGGACCGAAACCGTTGTCAAAGTGTAGACGAGGGCCTCCTGCACTGATGAACTGGCTCCGTCCGCAGTGTGAGATGCTGCCTTGACCACTTGTCTTTGCAGCGCTTTCGGGCAACAGCCGGCACTTTGAAAGACAGCTGCTTGCGGTGGCAGGACTTTGCGAGGGCGCTTGCCGAACTTTCAGCGGTGCTCCAAGGACCTCAGAAACAGCAGGCTCCAAGCCGTCATGGCATGTCATGGCCAGGTGTTTTCAGTTTTCAGTCCAACAAGCAAGTGCGCTGGTTATCGTGCAATCTCGGAATGGAGGGATGCTGTACAATCACTCACGTTACAGCTTACCTGTAGCCCGAGAGGCTCTTTTGCATCTTGTGACTTAGAAATCTACAGGCGCTTCGATGTGGAGGAGTGGTAGAGAACCCTTCCGTCAGGCTTTCGGGATTGCCTGCCTTGCACATCACTGTTATGGGTCTCAGCTTTGCTGCTCGTTGCTCCTTCAGGGCTTAGGGCTTACCAGCCATTCCTCATCTGATCATGGTCATTTAGGGTTCGATGATGCGCAGCTATTGGTTTTGTCCGGACTTTAGGGTTCATAGTGAACTTTTGCCTTGCGTTCTTCATGTATGTTCCCGTCTGCAGGACACAGGAATGCGGGCTCAGGTCTTCAGGCTTCAAGCCTTGACTTCGTTGCTTTTGGTGCGGTGATGTGCGGTGCACCGGCATGGTCTGCCAATGGCGGCTGCCAGTATTTTCGGACTCCGCCTCGCCGGTCAACGGACTTCGGTTTCTCTGCCGCTCTGGCAGGTGTCGAGCTGTTTGGAGGCCACGTGGCCTGTGCTCGCCTCCTCGACCGAGCAGACGCTGCGACAAGAGGTGCAGGAACCTGCGCGAAAGCATGCTCCTCCCAATTGCAGGCTGCTTCCGTGCCAATGCTCATGCTGCCAGGACGACCTTGGGCTTTGCCTCGCCGGTCTGGCGCGATTGGCAGCCGCGCTCCCGCGGGCCCGGCCAGTTGAAACTGGGCCAAATTTTGCGGATCCCACCCGTTTTGAACCGAGACCACGGTTTCGTGCGAAGACCAGGCCGCAGTCGGAGGAAGCCTCAAGCTTCGTTTCGCATGTGCTTCGCAGCGCCCCCAGTGATCTTGCAGCTGGGAGCCCCTGCGGCATGTGGGAGCTGAGGCCCAAATGCCGAAGGTCTGCTCAACCACTGCCAGGACGAGGAGCTCAGATGGCAGCCCGGCTTGCGAAGTTCTTTCAGACAGGCCGAGATGCAGCATAATAATATATTATAGTATATTATAACATAATATATTATAGTATATTATATAATAATAATATATTACATTATAATATGTTATAGCCAAGTTGTTTGCCCCTGGGGGTCCGAAGGCCGAACTCGGAAAGCGCCGAGGCTGGAGATGGCTGGACCTCTGCTTCGCCTCGAGGGGCAGGAGGCCCTTAGCCCTCAGTGTGAGCTACACGGATCTTTCGGTTTAGGGTTTAGGGTTTAGGGTTTAGGGTTAGGGGTTTAGGGTTGAGGTTTAGGGGTTTAGGGCTTAGGGGTTGAGGGTTTTGGGGATATCAGTGATATCATGGATTGGGAAGGGCAGGACGGCTCAAGCTAGCATGGTTCTGAAGGACGCTGCATTGTATGCCAGAGGCCTGGGTCAGCCTGCTGAGACAACTGGCGCCGCTTGTAAGCAATGGATGGGAAAGACTCCAGGTAGACAAATTCTGTACTACGTGAGTGTTGAGATTAATGGCGGCTTCGAGGGAAGAGCTCATGGGCGCACAGGTGCACAGTGCGATCCGATGCAAGCTGTGAGAACTTCCGCCTGAAAGGCTGCAGTCACTGCCGGGGCTACCGCGTGGCGAGGAGAGGTTCTATGATTTTAGGAAGTACCGTAAGAACCCAAAACCCTCTTTTTTGTAGGTTCTTATTATAAACCCTAATATGGGATTTATAGGGACCCTACAAAAAAGTAGGTTTTGGGTTCTTAAGGTAGAGGACGCTGGTTTTTTCTCTCCGGCAGGAGATGGCCTCCCGCTTTGTCTCGATCTTGCAGCTCCCTTGCTGCACCATCCACTGCGATGTTAGAAGTCGAGTCATGAATCCGCGGCATTCCGCGGCCAACGTATTCCAGCCTTGCAGGTGGGTGGCTTCCTGCGATGCCCAGGCCGCGTGCCCTCCTTTCTTCGACTTCGCGTTTCAGGTGGGCCCTCCGCCGGTCCCACAGCAAAGACAGCCGCATGCCTTCTTTGCTGCTTCTACGCAGGAGCTCAGGCATCGAGTGCATGAGCTCCCACGTGCAGACATCCGCCGCGCAGCTGAACTGCTAAGTCAGGCACCTGCACGGGAGGGACTTTTTTGGGACATGTCGGCCCGGGAGGCAAGACGTACTGTGCTGCCTGTGCTTGTCAGAGAGTGCGAGGTTCACCTGGAGCGACCTGACCTGCTGCCTTCTGCAGCATCCGCTTTGGCTCGGGCAGCACGGCCGCCAGAAGAGCTGCCGGAAGTCGCGCTGCAGCCAGGCTTAGAACTGACTGTTTGGTTACAGCGGCAGCATGAAAGGCTTTTGGTTCAATTAAATTGCAGAGGACGGAGAGCGACTAAGGTACCTTTCCACCCTGGCTGGGCTCTATTCGCGCGTGGCGGCTCTCTTCCGAGACAAGAGTTGACACTGTAGGATCTGCACATCGTTTCCATGCGACACGTTCAGCATGAGGCCTTGCCCAAGAGTGAGGAAGCTTCCAGCCAAGAGGCGCCGAAAACACATTGCGAGCTGTTGCTGTCGTAGCATTCCTCAATATCCCACAGCTCTTTGAGGATGGGGGAAGTTTTGGGGGGGAAGCTGTCGCGAGCCTTCTGATGCAGCCCAAGATGACCAGGAAAGACGAACCGCCTTGATGGCTTTGGCGGAGAAGCTGTCGGGAGGGGCCGAGACGGTACAGGACTGGTTCGGAAGACTGTGACTGTGAGAGTGGCGTCAAAGCATCGAGATGTAGTCCGAATAATTAGTACGTACTAGTATCCCACGCATTCGATGTATAACTGTACTAATCAGATCCCTATACCATGCTTCTGGTGCCAGGATCTGCTCACTCCAAGCACCGTGGCACACGACGCTACCTTCCTGGCCCTATCGGCCTTCGCACAGGCTCCTTGCTTTGCAGGCTGCTGTTGTCCTTATGGCTTCCTTTCCTGACGATTGAGATCCGAGCCCATTGGTCTTTGATCCCAACCGCAACTGCAGTCCGGGTACGTCAGAAGCAGTCCACATCCCGAATTGTCCTGGGCTTGCGCATTGCTCAGGCTGTATGCAGGCCTGTGGATGATGTGCCGGCCGCCAGAGAGCTGGTTCTGCAGGATCCAGCTCACTTGAGAGAGAGAGAGAGAGAGAGAGAGCAACGCTGCGCTGGAGATCTGTACAATTTTTTCATGCGAGCCTTAGCGAGGATCGGACTAGCGGTGCTGTCAGCTTAGGTAGAATCTGCCATCTGCATGCGTGCTGCAACCTCCTAGCATTCATACCCAACAAAAGGCTTGTCACTCTCAGCCTCGCAACCCAATGTAGACTGCTGAGCCAGACGATGCATCTTGCCCTGACTGCCTCTCTTTGTCTGAGGGTATCTGGACCTCGAACACAACTTTGAAGAGCCATGCATGTCATCGCGCTAGAAAGAAAGTCCATCTGCAGCATCTGACATCCTCAACCCCCCAAACGACCGCAGGCAGGCCTGCGACTCTTTGACAGCTTGTGCCGCTTGCTTATGTTGGTGCACGAACATGCTGGCTTTGGAGTAGCTCTGGCTTCGGGGGGTTCTTTTGACTCTTTAAGGCTTCTGCAGCTTGAGGGTTGCTTGCCAAGTTTTGCCGGACACAAGGGTTGGAAAACCAACCCAGCCAAATGACTCGACCACTTAAGGCCACACCTGGAGCAGCGACGCAGAGGAGCATGTTGCTCTGCGGCACAGTGCCTGAGATGAAGACTTCAAGGCTGACCTTGTTGCAGTGCTTTCGCAAAAGGAGACAGGAGAGCCTCGGTTCTCTCCGCAGCATGTGCACATCTTCATCACAGCCCTGCGCAGCTTCTGTGTGGGAAAGGCGGGGATTTTCCGACCTTGATTGCTTTCAGACACGACAACAACACTAAGCATGGGGCTGAGGGCTCTGCGTCACCTCCAGTGCTGGCCTTACTGCAGGATGTCTTATGCAGTTGAACATATGCACAAGAAGATTCTACTGTGATCGGTTGGTGGTGAGGCATCCTGCCTTGATGTTCTACAAGGCACGGATAATGCATGCTTGGGTTCCCAGCCTCATTCCTTCAAGTTGCATTGTGTCTTTCAGAGTCAGGTGTGGTGCAGCACACGGTCGCATCCGCGGCAGACAAGGAGGCGCGTTGCAAAGCCTCTTCAGATGGACCGTTTCGTTGCGGCGACTGCACACGAAAAGCTCGCACTTTACTTTGCGGCCGAAATGCAGGCGCGCCTTTGTCTCGCGGTTCTGCAGGAATTGGCCGCTGATCCGGCCTGTGCCGGCCTTACAGCTTCAGAACATCCCAAAGCCTGTGATGCGTGATCAAAAAAGAGCAACTGCCTGGATTGGACGAGGTCCTGGCTCACTCAAGGCAATCCTCCCAGGAAAGGAGGCGAACGAGGTGCACAGTATGCAGGCCGGCAGCACCGTGCGAGAAGGAAGTTAAGTGGATAGCATTGAATATGGTTGGTCCAGTGCACAGAGTGTGCAGGAGAGATAGGTCGCAGTCAGGGGGGGTGCTGCGACTTTGCTGCCAGTTGTCGGAAGCTTGCAGTGCAGCAGGTGTTGTTGTGGAAGTGTTAATTGCTTTAAAATTGAAGCCTCGTGCGGCAAGTTGAAGAGATGTCACAAGCGGAAACCCGCCCTGTCGCTTGGAGGGCGGCGAACCAAGTGGCCCCGGTGGAACTGCCCAGCGGTCGGCTCTCCAGTCAAAACGGTCGGATGCAAGAAGGACATGCTCAGCTGCTTGGAGGGGATCTCGACCCTATCCAGTGGCTGAGGCGCTTGCGGGCTGCGATGGCCGCTTCGCCGGGAAGTGAAGGCGTACGTTGGTTACCACTTATTTTGCAAGGTTTATATTATACTAGAGTAATTATAAATAAAGAACCCCCCAAAACTCTATTGTAATTATTGCAAACGGACGTCAGGAGCCGGTGGCTTTGCGAGAGAAGGCAGGAGTCTGGGAGATATGAGAAGACTGACTGTCAGAGAGCACAGCTCCCGGGCAGGTCAGGAGCGTGGCTTCCTGCGGCGGATGTTTGGGCTCTAGACTTTGCTTGCCAAAAAATATCTCCCACCAAGCACTTCCCAAATTCATCCCACCTGCAAAGTGCATATATGCGTATGTGTGTGAGTGTGTGATTGTGTGTGTGTGTGTGTTTGTATGCGCACATGATAATATGCATGTGAGTACGTTTGTACGTTTGTGCATGCGTATGTCCATACATACGCATGTATGTACATACCCACGTGTGTATGATTGCGTATGTATGATTATGTATGCATGTCGGCACGCATGTAGGCAGGCATGTATGCACGCATGTATGCATGTATTTTTCTATCTTTCTATGTTGCTCGGCCGCCCCGGACGCGAGTGTGGTTCAACCGACCCTGGTCATCCCTGGTCGTCATGTACGAGATACTTTTCACGTTGTAGAGCGAATCTTGTTGGACTGTATTTCCCCCGGTCTCAAAGTTGTCTCACGTGCGTCCATGCTTTTCGTGGCTTCGAACTCTTCGAGAGCCAAGTTTGAGCAAGCTGCTTGTACCGCCTGAACCTCAGCACTAGAAACCAAAGCTGCATCACCATCACCATCATCATCATCATCATCATCATCATCATCACCATCACCATCATCATCATCATCATCACCACCATCATCATCATCATCGCGCGTCATCATCACCACCGAACAGACATATCCCGGCGGTCCTTTCGCCTCTTGCTCATCATTTTCGTCCTTGCCTTCAGCTTGTCATCATCACCAGCATGATCCTCATGACCATCAGGCTATCACCACCAACCGTCCGTTTTTCACATTTTCCGAAGCCACATGTGTGAAACGTCTGAGGTGTCTTGCGGCTCAAGCAGTTGAAGGGAAGAGATTGATTTGGTGAGGCAAGCATCTTTAAGTGCCGAGGACCCCTTTCTCCTCCGTACAGACTCCCTTCTCCCGACCGTTGTTTCGATTGGCCTACATGCGGGCACAGCACCTTATCATTTTTCCATATCGACTAGTAGATAAGCATGGCAATCATTGACGTCCTGACTGCCATTGCCACTGCCGGAACGACCATCCAGTCATTCTTCGCATGGTCTGGCTACAATCGCGACAACTTCGGTCAAGGAGTGGGATGGCGCCAAGCCCATCAGTACCAGAAGAAAAACTACTACGCGAATTGGGTGGCGTCTGCTCGAGAGGATCTTCTGCAGCTCAAGGGAGCATCGATGCATCACATCGGGAACTACATGATGGTGGCGACGACGATGCTGAGCTCAACTGTACTTGCCTTTGCAGTTTCTGGCTTCGACGAGGCTTGCCCCGCCTTTGTCGTCTACAGCTTCTACACCAGCGCCGCTTCGGCGGTGGTCTGCCTGATGTTAGCGGTGGCTTTCGGAATCAAGGCGCAAGGATCCGCCTATGAGAGCACGGCCTTGCTGCTCACCGAGAAGCTTCGGCCCTTCAATCCTGACGAGGCCCACAACTACTTAGAGCAGGCGCAGCGCATTGAGAGGTTAGGCTTGGGAAGCCTCTTGCGAGTGCCGGGGCAAGCGGAAGACTACAGTGCGAAGCCCAGAAGCCCAGATGATCCGGAGTTGGAGTCAAAGCCAGAATTTTCGGCAGTGGCAGTGGCTGAAAACTTGTCGGAGCCTTGCACCTCCAACGAGCATCTTGGTGATGGGTGCGAGTTTCCCGACGTGCTGAAGCCGGATCAAGAGCTTCAGACTTGTGACACAGAGGAATCCTCTGGGCTGGAGAACTTGACAAGCCGCAGGGATGTGGAGTATCTCAAGAATTTTCATGAATTCATCTTACTGTGGAAGCCCCATGAAGATTTCTGCAAGATCTGCATGGGCCTTGGCACCATCTCCTTTGCGGAGGCCTCTGCGGCGTTCACCGTGGGAAAAGTTCTGGGGCACACGTCCTACTTCATGGAGCAGCTGCTTGCAGCGACGGTGGCGCTAGCGTTTCTTTTCATTATGATCAATGTCTTCCTGGCCTATGGGCATGGCACTTCGAAGCTCTGTCCTTTGCTTCTGGCCACCAGCGACATTTGTGCCACAATTGCTGGCAGCTTTGCCGATCCCAGGGCAAATGCAGCATTGGTGCCAGGGTCATTCTTGCTCCGCCTTGGGTTCTGGGTTACCATCGCAGTTGCAATTTGCAAGCATAGCCAGTGCAGAGAGACTTCGGCGCTCGCGGCGAAAACACCACTGGACAAGAATGTGGAGGAAGAATTCACAAGCACAGAAGACATGGAAGCGTTCAAGCAACGAAGCCAGAGAAAGTTTGTTCGAGGACGCAGAGCAGTGCTCCAGGGCCTGTGTGTTTGCATGTGTATGTGGATCTCCGTGACTGTATGGGCGACAGTGCATTACACCGTTCAGCTTTTTCTCGAGGAGTCACATAGAGCAAGCGTTGCAGCTCTGGAAGTGGAGTTTCCACCACTCTTCACTCCACACAGTCTTGCCTGCGCTGATGGACACATCTTTGTAGCAGACCGATATAGCATCTACGAGATCTGGCCAACGGCTAGTGGCCGGCCAGCTGTAAAGAGGGATTGCAAACTGGATGGCCCCATCGAAGCCATCAGTGCCACTTGTGACCTTTCAGGTTGTCATCCCATCGTACTCCTAAATGCACCGTCAGGTTCAATGGTGACGAATTGCAGCACGGCGTCCTTGTTACTGGGAGATGGCCGAGTTGCGCGACATTTGGCCGCGCCGCTGCAGGCTTCAGAGGGCAAACTGCTTACCACTCACGCGAAGGAGCTGGTCGAGTACGGGCAAAAGGACGAAGGATGGGGTGCAGAGCGGACCTTGAGCTACAAGTACCCCCAGTCCCAGAGCATCCGAGGTCTTGCATGGAAAGGCGATTCGCCTCTTGTCCTGCGGGTTGATCCAGACGGTCATCTAGATCTAGAGGAGATGAAGCTGGCCGAGCGACGAAGCATCTTGTGGCACCTGCCCATGTCCGTCTCACGCGCTTTGAGTGTCTGTTCTCCAGACGCGGCCTCCGCGCTGCTTCTTGTGCTCATCGAGGATCAGCCGCATCTCGTAGCCGCAAGGCCTAAATTCATGTGATTTCCTGGGCCCCAAGTTTACATATTTCAGAGTCAGGAAGCACCTGAGCCGACTTGTTGTACTGTGTTAGAAACTTTTGACAGCTGTTGGGTGATTCTTTTTGAACCTCGCATTGATGGCTTGCTCAGAGGTGCACTTTTTTTACATGTGTTACTCTTGACCGTTGCGAAGCTTGCACTGCTGATTTAAGTGTGGAGTGGTTGTAGTGATAGTAGTTTTGTACCTGGCTTTTTTCTGGACCGCTATATCATCAGTATCACGGCCCGTGACCTCAGCGAAGCTTCGTACGACGTGATGCCAATTTTTACAGCACTTGACTCTTCAGGGCAAGAGAAGCATGCCGTGGTCTGCTTTTCATTCTGCGCTTGGCTACGCAGCAAAGCTCCTGCACACATTTGTGTTAATTCTTGCAGATTTTGTTTCTTTGTGGCACGTTGTCGTACCGGAGGTACCCCTGACACCAGCCACAATCCTTATTGACCAGACAAACGAAGCTTCCAGAGTGTTGCTTCGTCAAGTTTTGGTTCCTGCGCTTCTCTTGACCCCAACGCTGCCCACAACTGTTGGATGAGTGTTGCAATTTTTGTGCGTCTTCTTATGCAGGAACGGTGCCGCGGTGCCGAAGGTACCATTTCCCAACCAACGATGATAAAATCCAAATAAGATGATATATAATACGCGCATAATTATTAGTGGAATCCAATTTAGAAGTCTAGCCGATGCGGAACATTGGACCCTTTGGGTTGAAATTCGAGTGGTCTTAAGGTTCGAAAAATTAGAAGAATTATCGAAATATTTTCGATAATTAAATTAATCGAATTCGATATTTTTATTTTTGAAGGATTCATAGATTTATATTTTATTATTTCGATTTATTGAATTGAAAAGAAGAAGGAGATATGATTGGGATATCGGGGCCGAGGGATAGGAAGCGGGAGAGATAGAGAAATATGAATTCGTCTAATAGGACCGTATGATTATATTTCATTAACCACATAAGTGGTGGATTACTTTAATGACTCTTATTCTTACGCTTCTATAAATTATAAAGATTCCGTCGTATATTTTTATATAAATGAAATCCTTATATACTTTGGTCTGTCGTCGTGTCGTATTTAAATAAATTAATAGAATATCTGAAATATAAATAAGACTATATATATCTCTATTATATAGATTAATGCTAGCACGACGGTCGGCTCCCTGATTAAAATATGCAGAAGAATATCTTGTCCATTTTTATTGCGTCTTCTTCTTAAGATATTTATGTTAGAAAATTAATATAATAATCATAAGATTTTCATATATAAATAAATAATATATCATATGAATGGGAAGAATCTTTATTCTATATATGAAAAAATATTGATTTTTTCTGATTAGCAATTTCTAATATGGTTCTTATATATCAGTCATTAGGACGAAATATACGATTTTTATAAATATAGATTCAAGCCGGCAATATTTAAATCGATCAGGATTCGCTCGGCCAATGAATTTGAGAATTAAATAATCTTGAGGAAGATATCAGATTTGATTTGATAGATATAATAATCTTTAGATAATTATGAAGATGAGAGAAATAAGAATATCATCTTAAATTCCATATCGAAATATATAATTAGAGGATAATCGAACCAATTAGTAATATCTGAACATAGGAATCGTCGCGAAAATTTTCGAGATACGACTGGGATATCGGATCCGAAGAGATAGGAAACGGGAGAGATAGAAAGATGAATTCGTTTAATGGGACCATATGATCGTGCTTCATCAATCATATAAGTGCTGGATATATCAAAGCATAAATGGTCATGATTACTTCACATGGACCCTATTCTTGAGATCAAAGCTGCTGCATGAGAGCTTCTGATATAATCATATTCTGCATATATCTCTGCAAATCATGAGCATTCTGTCGTGCATCGCTATATAAATGAGATCCTTATATATTTTGGTCTGTCGTCGCGTCGCGTTCAGATAAATGAATGATATCAGCGAAATATGATTGAATAAGAATATCTATATCTCTATCGTATGAATTGTTGCAAGCACGACGAATAATTTCCTGATCAACGTATTCAGAAGAGCATCTTGTTCATATTATTGCGTTTTCTTCTTAATTTATTTATAATAGAAAATTACCATAATAATAATAATATATTCATATATAATCGAATACCATATAAACGACAAGAACTTTTATTTTATATATGAAAAGCAAAATCGCAAAAATATTTAAAATAATCAAGTGGCGGAAAAATTCATAAAAGTCTTGAGGAAGGACGCGTCCATTCGCTATAGAAATCCGTCATCAAATATGTCGGACTTGAATCATGTCAAAGGTTCCGCCTTGAAGAAATCGAGGTGTTTTGCGGTAACGATAGAGGGGGCGATATCGAGTGGTTGGCGGCGTCGATCTCGAATATAGATTATATAAAGAGAGCAATCTTCGATTCGAGAGATTTATCGGTCCGTCTCCTTCCAATCTACATAATAGAATTTCTCCAATATTTATAGACCAAAGAATGAAAGCTCAGATTGATTGCATTATGAATATCAGCATCATTCGGAGCCTGAAACCTAACTGAAAAAACCTGACCGAAAAGCCAAAATACAAAAACCTAAACAACCTAAAAACCTAAACCTCGAGAATCTTGTCACGGGCACCTCGCCGAAAGACTTGCAGAATTTAGGTTTTTTTAATGTTTTTTCAGTTAGGTTTTTCAGTTAGATTTTTTCAATTAGGTTTTTGCAGTTGGGTTTTTTCAATTAGGATTTTTCGGTCAGATTTTTTCAGTTAGATTTTTCAATTATATTTTCCAGTTAGCTTCCCTCAAATCCCGAAAACCTATCCAGTCCTTGAGATAAAACTTTACGTATATCTGAAACAAGAACAACTAAATATAATGAAAACAAAGAGGTCGAAGAATAGCACTTATACATATATATATATATATTCATATATATATAGATATTCTCATCCACATATATATATATATACATATATATTATATATATCTATATATATGCTTATATATTCAGACATATTCATTCACTTTCAAAGTTTATGCACGCGCACACACATACATATATATATATATATATGAATATATATATATATATGTAAAATGATTATAGATAGATAGATAGGAAGGTAGGTAGATAGATAGATAGATAGGTAGATGAGTAGATAGATACCTAGAGATATAGATATTTTACAGATAATAAGAAAATAGAGAGATATAAAACAAAAATATATATGCATATTTATGCCCATATTCATATATATATATATATCTATGTATCACGGACTTATATATGCTTCTTCTGCAATATGTGTGCGAATATATATATGCATCCGCGGGGCTGGGACGTAATTATACCCTAATTAGAAGGTCCCAGGTTCCTATTCCAAATCTGGATTCTCAAATTCCAAGACCTAAGAAAATATATTGATTCCTTGTCCGACAACTTTGATAATAGAAGATGCATTGATATCAATGACCAATTTCGATATTTAGGACAGAAGATCCATATTAATCTTAGAATTAATGCACTTATATATATGATATATATGATATATGCATATATATATATATGAATATATATACGCCTATATGCAGATATATTTTTAAATAAAAATACTTATATATATATATCTATATATATATTTACATATTCATGTACTTTCAAAGCCTAGGCACGTGCACATATATATATATATAATATATAATATATATATATATATATAGACAGGTCTATATTATATAGATAGATAGATTGATAGAGAGATAGATATAGGGATTTATATATTCATATATATTTATGTATTCATATCTATATATCATGGGTACACATATATTGTTTCTATGGTAAATCTGAGAGCGTACATATATGTCATCGTGAGGCATAAATAGAATTATTACGACCTTCCAATTCTCTTTAAATAGATAACTATATAGAGACTTTGCTATTACAGAAATAGAGACCTGTATATATATCATAGAAGGGATTCGTATCTTGATGGAATCTATATATATATATAGACAGATATTCATACGAGCATAGAGACCATGCTTGCCAACCGACAGAATTGATATTTGCCATGCTTTACCCGTCATATCCTATCAAGATTTGGAATCGGAGCTTGGGGCCCTCCAATTGGGATATAATTACATCAAGTCCTGCGATTGTATATTCATGGTCGCATATATTTCATAGATATAATATATATGCGCCCATAACAAATAGATAAATATATATACATATGTAAATATAAATATAGTTATCTATATATTTATCTATTATCTCTCAATCTATTTATCTATATAATATTTGTTTATATATATATATTATAAATATATATAAAGATATATGAGCGTGCATAAGTCTTGAAAATACATAAATATATATATATATGCATATATATAGATATACATAGATATATATATATATATATTTATTTTTAATATATATATATATACTTATATTCATATATATATATGAAGGTTTATTTCAATATTAATATATAGTTTCTGTTTCAAATATCGAAATTTATTTTTTTCTCAATATTCCTTCTATTATCATGAAATCTAAGAACCTATGACGATTTTCAATATAAGATCTTGGAAACGCGACCCATTATCTCTTGCAAAAATATAGATCATTAAGATGAGTGCATAATACGAGAACTAGATTCTCAAATCTTCATAGTAGTCTATGCCAGAGATCGCAAATATAAATCAAAATATCTGTAATTTCGATTCTAAAATTTAATTTTATGAATATCAAAAATAGAGATATAAAATATTCATAAATTTAGAAAAATGAAAATATAGTAATTAATAAGAAGATCTTTTTATTTAGTCTAGAAGAATTTAATCAAAAAAAGGCTTTATAGAATAAAAATAATCAGATAGAAAATTATAGAAATGAGTCTACGAATCTTATTATAAAATCTTCTATTATGCTAAATAAAATCATGATGAAATTTCTAT